GTGTCTACGAAAACGTTTCCTATGTTCTCAACTCAATCTAAGGATCGACGCTACACGACATGAATAACATTGCAGAGAGCAAACAGTGCGCCATTAACCAAACAACAAAAGTCCTCAAAGCCTCCAATTTGTTACGCATGGTGGCAAAAAAATGAGAAGATAAAAGGTTCGGTGGTACCAGAGAGCTCTCTGGTGATAGAATCTAGGCCGCTTCATTGCACAGAGCTTGGAAAACCGCCGTCGGTAGGCAGTACTACCACAGATTCCCTATTTACTATTAGATCTAGTAAAGAATCTTTGGTACTACTTGATGAGTAAAGATAAAGGTGAACTGTGATAGGGGGCTTGTTTTTTCTGTAGGCTAATTTTTCATAAAAAGTAAGGGTTTTACGGCACTTGCAACACAATAAGGTCATGTAAGTTCCGAAGAGAGAGAGAGAGAGAGAGAGAGAGAGAGAGAGAGAGAGAGAGAGAGAGAATTTCCTGTACTATGTATACAATCTTAGAGTTGTAACGAGATTTGTTCTGAACCCTGCAATGTATCATGTTGCAGATTGTCTATATTTTGCCCAGAAACTGTTTGGGTTTCCATGGTAGGAACTTGCTTCAATTCTTTCGCAGACTCTCTTAGTTAACTAAATTAGGATATGATTGACGTATTTTTTGTTTACTTTTCTGTGGCTTCGGTTTACATTTTTTTGAGAAAGTTGATCTGTCTCCGATTACCGTTTGACTGGTGTGTTGTGCGTGTGTGTTTGTGGGGGGGGGGGGAATAACTTTTTATGCGACTGATACGACTTTATCCTAGAGTACGGGTGGTTGCAGGGCGGCACTGGTAGGCTCTACGTCTTTGCTTTCCCTCTGTTGTTTCTGTCTGCCTGTCTTACTTTTTCCCCAACACTGAATGGTCATTACTGTGTCAGTATGCTTTTCTCTTCTCGACAGCAACTCATTTTGGAGTTGTGCAGCGGAGTCTGCTGATATTTTAAGATCTATCGTTGCGTCGTTGCGTTCACTCGATTTCCCCATTTGTCCACAGTCCTGCTGTGGTCTGCTTCATCTATTTCTTTTTTGTCACTGTCGTCGTGTTCTGTTTTTGTGAAAATGTGGTCGTTTATGTGTTAATTTGTCGTGACTCTCAACCCAAACCAACATCTCAACTATTGTTTTTGAACAGGCTCTGACACATAATTATATAGTGGGTGGTTAGCAGGTGAACTGGTGTAGTTTGCTCCTTTTCTTCCCATCGAACGTCTATTGTCCTTATCAGCTGTCCTCCTTTTTGTGTTTATTACTCTCTTGTAACATCTGTAATCTTCGGCACTTATGTGACTTTATTGTGTTGCAAGTGCCGTAAATCTCGTACTCAAACTAAACTACCTCTTTTTTCTCTTCGTATGGTACTCTCTAGTAACACTTCTGATCTTTGTCACTTATATGACCAATTTGTATCGCAAGTGCCGTAAAACTCATATACTAAAGCTTGAACTGGCACTAACTGTTTGTTGACATTGTATATGGTTTCCATATTCATTGTATCCATCTTTCGTTCGTTTGTCTACCTTTTATAACATTCTTAGCTCTGTTCTTGGCTTTAACTCTGTTGCTGAATTGCAAGTTGGGCATCCTGGCTTAAATTCCCCAATTGTACGTCTTGTGATCTGTTAGGGCTTTCCGCACCCTTAGTTCGATTTAAGAGGAGACGGGCGTTAAATCAGAGGTCTCGTCTCTTAGATCAACCTCGCTGTGTTAAAAGGGGCATTACACCCTAAGCGAACCATTACAACACATACCGCACGGCGGGACCCCGTCCGAAAGGTATTTCGGCAACATTTGTACCTGTGTTGTTGTAGCCAGGCGAAGAGATAATGGTCTTTGCTATCGGCATCTCGCAATTTTCTGCTTCGCTTGGCCATGGCAAAGCAGTACAGAAGGGGCGTTAAATCAGTGCTGAGGGTCATGACCCACACTAGAGAGCTTACTGTAAAAAAACTCGACCTGCACTGAAGATGACGTCTTGTGTATATAATGGCTATCTAAACTACTTGTTTGGAATCTACTTGCAAGTCACTTTAAAGGCTTTCTATTAAGAGTTTGCTTCCCTAAAATTTCTTTTTTGACCGTTTTGAATTACTGAGACCATGAGGTCTGAAAGTAACTGCTGTATGAAAATCGTAAGACTATTCGGAGTCGTTATCAAGATACTCAAATAATTGCTTTCGAAAAAACTTGAAATGTGAAACTCATATTTTTCCTCCTCAAATGTCTCAAATCTCGGTACTGAGCAGATAATAATGTGTAATTCTGAGGTAGCAAGTTGGATCTGACCTTTGACAGGCTCTGTCGTGGCCACCGCTCTTTTCACTCTATTGCTCTCTATTAAAAAGTTCGCTGCGCTGGTGTGCAAATAAAGTGGGAAACGCCAGTCTTTAGTCGAGTGCTTGTTCAAACTTTGCCTGATTGTCCTTAATTTGGTTCCGAATTGAGTCAATAAATGGTTTGCTCCATGCCGAACCGGAATTACGTAAAGAAGGAGAGTCTTGACTTTTGTAATGTAAGTGCTATGATCTCACTCTGGACTGTGGTTTTTGAACTTTTACCCCTTTAACGTACACTATTACAAGAAAATCGAGTTGTTTTCTTCTTGTTTAGTGTGCCCTATCGGGTCCTTATGTCAAAATGTAGGTCCACCCCTTTAAAATGACTGTTGTATTCAACTGGATGCTAAACCCATACAATACCATTGCAAATCACAATTGTACCAGGCTTCGAGATTGATAAACCTTTGTTTTGAGCCTGTTCCGGGTCTGACTTCTTCCATTCAGCAGAGTGATGTATCTCCTAGCTTTCCTCATTTTGGTGCTTATTATCACGAAGTAGCAAAGTATGAAGTATAATTTGTCGAATAAAATGAGGCGGGGGGTTGAAAAGCGCCACTTGCTGGTCCTACTTCTGTTATTTTCTTCCCTTTTCCCTGTAATATCTGTCTTGCTTTGTCCCTGCACAAAAAGAAGTTCATTGTGTCCTTATTTTGCTTCTCTGCACTCAAACAGACAAACAAACGAACAAATAAACAAACAAATAATAACATGAATCACCAGCACTGACGTCATTCATACTGAGTGCTTG